CAATATCCATAAGTAGCCCAAAACCAATACATTTCGAATAGATCCAAAAATGTGTATCGACTCCATCGATCTGACACCGAGCAATCGCTCTCGGACGACTCTCTAGTATCTTCTCTGATGACTCTCATTTTACCCCATTTTTCCTATTTTGGACCCCTATCCTATCTTTTTTTCACCCTTTTGAACTTGATTTTGACATCGTGAAAAGCTTTTGGAATGAGTACGATTAGCCGATAAACATTTTGAAAACTTAAATTGTTATAAACTAAGTTACGGACTTAAATGAGGATATTAGGTGGATAGGATAAATTAATGAGTTCTAATTTGATGTCATGGACTCACATAGGTTAACTTGAATTTCAAGAGATTAGTTTTGACGGGCTTCAAGAATTAAATAGTGACTTCAACTTAAGCTACCTAGGTTAGTCACTTCACAATCGATTTGGTTAGATGAATTATTTGAAGTATGAACAATGCGTGTCTTGTGGCCCTTGCACGTGCGATATCTTGTCATTGATATGTTTTCTTGTTACGTTAGGATGTAGTGCTTCCCCTCATGGTTTTTAAAATGCGTCTACTAGGAAGACATTTTCACACCCTTATAAAGAATGTTTCGTTCTCCTTCCCAACTCCAACTGATGTGGGATCTTACGTCCCCGAAGCTTAAATTCATGGCATAAGCTTATGATGCAAGGCATAACTCCATTCTTTAGATGACATAGCATTTCTATAAGATATACTTACATATTACTTGTAATATCCTATTATAGTCATATACATGGATTTCTGATGTCTCATAGGCATAGATCCACCGTATTAACGTAGTTTACATGACATGACACATGGGCTTCATGCATCTGTCATAATCATATGATAATGCAGTAGAAAACATAGAATATCTTATAATGTGACATAACATATAATGTGACATAACATATAAATCATTGTATAACATTAACATAGTACACGTCATATAATTAGGAAACATGACACCTGTAGGGGTCATAGGACAGACGTCGTTCATGCAACAACAAATCATCCAAGCAAGCGAGCAGTAAAGTCACTTACCTAATTGGCCAAAACTAGAGTTACTATCTTTTCCTTGGTCCAGGTCTGAAACTACCCTCTGAGCACGAGTCAACCTAATGGATCAACACTATCGAGTTAGAATATAATCCACCTAATGTTCTCAAATAATCCTCTTATTTTGCTTCACATCCTTTATATTGGTGAAACAGTGGTGGTCGTCATACTGTAGGGGTCGCAGGTGCAGTCATCATTGGTTCCATTTTCATTGGTTCCATTTTCAAGCCTAAATGAAAATTAACATAAATATCTAATGAGCATGCATTACTAAATGTAATATAGTGATAAAACTAGGGTTGTGTAAGAAAAATGTCTAAGATATGAACTAGAGGGACCTCATGCATGTTGTTTGTACATAAGCATCGGGATACTTCCCCTTTATGATGATGAGTGTGGATGAACATAGTATGATGATGACGGTAATCATGTTGAGCATGATACCAAGAGGTTCGTTGACCTCAACACGTCACTACAGACAACTAGCTCAACAATGATGGATCAGTGGGGTGCGAACCGCCTAGAGATTCACACTTGCACGTGTGGGTTATGTGTAGGGATGTACTACACATCCATAGTTAGTCCCGACTAAAGACCACCCGTAGTATGAGATAGAGATAGGTCCCTACCTCATATTTGCATGTGTTTATATTTAGCATGACCCCTATAGTTGGGTCATATACTGAGTATTCTTCAAAATACTCAGGCCGTGTGCCACGACATTTTTCATGTAAAGGCAAGGAGCCCATGTACGGATGACGGTGGAATCGCGAGCAGAGGCCATGACACGTGCATAAGATATGAACATATTTAATTTTCTAGTCTTAGGTTACAATTGTTGTCTTGCATTTCATATGTTTTAAATTATTTTGTATTTGTTTTATTTTCATTTTCTAGTATTATGTGTTGAACACGTAAACCCATGAGAGTGTTTTCCAAGATGTAATTGTTTTAAATTCTCGAAATTCTGCTATAAATGATGTTCTTTTAAGGATTGTATTTCGCATCTGTGTTGAGCATAAAACATCAGTAGCGACTTTAAGTAAGTAGAAATTTATGGTCATACATCATTTTTCATTAATAACTCACATTTCTAGCCTAAACAAACTTGACCTTGGAAATAAGATGCGATACTGACCTTATTTGCATTTATTAAGGTCAAATTAAGTTTTAGGAGGGTAAAAAATTTGTAGAAATCAGTATCAAAATATCTATACCGATGGTCTCGGCCCAGTTAGGCTTAATAGTTGTAGTTGGCAAGGCGCTCAATGCTGTAGGTGGGCCAAGCGTTGCAAGTTAGCTTCGGGGCTTTGTTCGTTGTTGTTGAGCTTTGCGCTAGTGGTGGGTCAAGGCTTGGGTTTGTTTTAATTCGAGCCACTGATTGTAATCATACTTTACCAAAATTTTGATCCCTTACTCCTTCTTCTTGTCTTTCCTCCCTCTCCCATGACTTCACCAAGCCATGAATGTGACTACCATTGCAAACCCGTGTTTCGTTTCAGATATATAAAACAACCAATGCTCGCCAAAAATTTTCCCCCATGAATACAATCTCCTTACGTCGGTCTTTTTCTCTGTGCTTCCTGGTCCAACTGATGGAGATATATTTTGTATAACAAGTGGAGATTGAGGGTGATTTTAAAATGAGAGGTGGGGGTTTAGTTTGTCATCGTCGATTTGTGTTCATTGGAAAACTACAATGATCGTTCATCTTCTCTCAATTACTTGCATTTTCTCTATTCCAGCCATGTGTTGTGACGGAAGGCTTGAGCGTGGCTTTGTTGGGCATATCATTGGCGTTGGGAGGGTGTGTGGCTAGAGGGTGCAAGATTTTCGGCAAGACTTCTTTTTCGCGACTAGATTTATTTATTTAATTATTTAACCATTACCAATGCAATTGGAATTTCAAAGAGAATTTTTTTTTTTTTTTTTGCAAACAACATTGTTTTGATACAACTTTAGTAGCAATCTTAGACATGCTTAGTTCGAGGTGTTTTGGCTAGAGAATGAAGTTTGGCTTCAAGAATGATGCAACTATTGGCATTGCATTTAGGATGTTGATGAGAACTTAGATGTGTGCTTACTACAATACTAATCTAATAAAAGCAAGTCTATTTCATATTTGAGTTCTCAACCATATGGAGACTTTTAACAAAATAGTGCATGTATGGCAATGAAAATAAATATACATAAAAATCTATGTATATGATTGGCCTTGAGAGAGAAAAAAGTGTAACCTAAATTTTGGATAGTTGAGTACGATGCTTTACTAAATAAAGTCTAGCCTAGGAAACAAACACCCTTGATATCCTTTTGATTTTTTTAGTTTTTCTTTTCATAGCCTTTTACATAAAAATCTATCTTTAATAATTGTCCATGTATGTTTGTTGGAGTGCAATGATTATATATATATATGGTTCAAAAGGATCCATATGAAACACAAACAAATCCTAAGTCTATACGATATGAATAATCTTTATATGATTTTGTTGTTTACTTTTGCATCGACTTCTAATGTTTTCACTTGTTTTGCGAGCCAATATCCAGAATCGCATTGGAAAGTGACGATTCTTAATTATCAAGACGTACCTTTACTGACTTATTGCAAATCAGAAAATGATGACTTAGGTAAATAAGGGTGTTGCACCATGACAAGTTATTCAACCAGACCGTATTATTTTATGTATATCTAAATTTATAGATTTGATAGTTTCTATTTATTTTTATTCAAGGGCTGGGGTGGAACTTCAGAACTCCGCCAATTTGAAAATTATAATATCCAACATTAAAAAACTATAGATCAATGTTGATGCACCATGACAAGTTATTCAACCAGACTATTTTTTTTTTTTTTAATAAATGTGTGGGATGGAGAGTTTGAAATGCAGACATCTTCATCAATGCATATATGGTCTCAACTAGGTTAATTTCGAACAAATTGGTATTTAGGATCTTTTATTTAATTGAACATTTGACTATGTAATTGTATAAACTCTTATAGTTCTAATTTTTTCCTTTTTTCCAATCGAATTTGTTCCCCATCTAATGTTTTCTTATACAGGGGAGCATATTCTTCAATTCAAACAAGAATACAGTTGGGAATTCAAAGATAACATGTGGCAGACAACATTGTATTGGTGTAACTTTAGAAGCAATTATGGAACGCTTCGATTCGTGGTTTTCTGGCCAGAGGATAAAGTTTGGCTTCAAGATCGATTCAACAATTGGCATTGCATTTGGCGTGCACAAAAGAATGGTTTTTCTTTATATAATAGTCAAACAAAGGTATTCGACTTCGTTTATCCATGGAGTTCTTAGACAAATCCATCTACTTCGCCTTACTTCACATCAAATCTTATCATTTCTACACCAGGTTTGTGCTTGTTGTAATACTACTCTAACAAAAGTGTCTATTAATCATTTAAAGTCTTAAATATATGCGACCATACTCCCCCCGGAACCCAAAGACTTTAATTTCTCATAAGGTGCTGGCGGAGTCCTTAAAGCAACATCCGCCAAACCCTAGTCGGCATCGTTTATGGTTGAGACTAGGACGGTATCTGATCGTCTTCAAGCCCCCAACTTTCGTTCTTGATTAATGAAAACATCCTTGGCAAATGCTTTCGCAGTTGTTTGTCTTTCATAAATCCAAGAATTTCACCTCTGACTATGAAATACGAATGCCCCCGACTGTCCCTGTTAATCATTACTCCGATCCCGAAGGCCAACAGAATAGGATCGAAATCCTATGATGTTATCCCATGCTAATGTATACAGAGCGTAGGCTTGCTTTGAGCACTCTAATTTCTTCAAAGTAACAGCGCCGGAGGCACGACCCGGCCAGTTAAGGCTAGGAGCGCATCGCCGACAGAAGGGACGAGCCAATCAGTGCTCACCATAGGCGGACCGATTGACCCAACCCAAGGTCCAACTACGAGCTTTTTAACTGCAACAACTTAAATATACGCTATTGGAGCTGGAATTACCGCGGCTGCTGGCACCAGACTTGCCCTCCAATTGATCCTCGTTAAGGGATTTAGATTGTACTCATTCCAATTACCAGACTCGAAGAGCCCGGTATTGTTATTTATTGTCACTACCTCCCTGTGTTAGGATTGGGTAATTTGCGCGCCTGCTGCCTTCCTTGGATGTGGTAGCCGTTTCTCAGGCTCCCTCTCCGGAATCAAACCCTAATTCTCCGTCACCCGTCACCACCATAGTAGGCCACTATCCTACCACCCTCTCCGGAATCAAACCCTAATTCTCCGTCACCCGTCACCACCATAGTAGGCCACTATCCTACCATCGAAAGTTGATAGGGCAGAAATTTGAATGTCACCCGTCACCACCATAGTAGGCCACTATCCTACCATCGAAAGTTGATAGGGCAGAAATTTGAATGTTGCGTCGCCGGCACGATGGCCGTGCGATCCGTCGAATTATCATGAATCATCAGAGCAACGGGCAGAGCTCGCGTCGGCCTTTTATCCAATAAATGCATCCCTTCCAGAAATCGGGGTTTGTTGCACGTATTAGCTTTAGAATTACTACGGTTATCCGAGTAGCAAATACCATCAAACAAACTATAACTGATTTAATGAGCCATTCGCAGTTTCATAGTCTGAATTAGTTCATACTTACACATGCATGGCTTAATCTTTGAGACAAGCATATGACTATTGGCAGGATCAACAAGGTAGCATTCCAACACAACGTTGCAAACCACATGCCACTACATTTCACCATCTCCCCCTCCAAATGGAGTGTGAGAGAGGCAACAAAGGTGACAATGCAGGAGCAAGCGTCATTCCTTCATGCTTCGTTTAGCAATACATAGGCAACATGTTCGAGGGGTTTTCCAAGCACATCATGCCACCAAATGCACGGCATCCGAGAGTGCAAGCAACCGANTGGGATGCCATGCATCATTGTGCATTCATGCATCGGAGGATACTCCTTCTTCTTTTACGATTGTACGAATTCATACACTACGAGGTAGGGAAACGATCATTATATTATTATAATTCTTCCATGCACACTCCAACGAATCCAAACCGACGAGGTAGATCAATAAGACGCAATGTCATAATAGACAACCCAAGCTACAACGATAACCATTGACCAGTCAATACTCTCCACTATAAGCCAAACAACACGTTTTTATGTTATTTAAGTAAGATTAATGTGAGTAAGATAGGGGTGACTATTCCATATGAACAGTAATATGATGGTTGCTATTTTTAGGCCATATTAATGTATCAATACAGTTATGTGTGAAGGTTAGGTAACCAAAGGTGCNATCTAGATCCAAGTCGAACATACCTACACCAACCTACTACTCAAACCCATTTGCAACCCAAATACCAATAGCAACTTCAGCCTACGGCCCAGACACTTTGTGACTCGTGGCCCACAATGCCTGTAGCTCACACATTAGATCGTGCAACCCAAACTACCTGCAGCCTACGAACTATGTAATCATTCCCAAAGCCTGCGCCTTTTCCCTACGCAACAATCATGTGTGTCAACTCCTCCCCGTGCTACATGTCATGCTTAAAACAAGATGGCTGTAATAACCCGAAAATAATAAATTAATTAATTAATTAATTAAATAAAAATAAAAATAAATAAATAAATAATAATAATAATAATAATAATAATAATAATAAAAAAAGACAGCAGCAGCTTGAAGCTGCTGCCATGGAGAAAGGAAGAATGGACAGGTGGTTGAAGGGAAAAGAAAGAAAAGAGAGGAAGATGGAGGTGTGGGAGGTGGTTGGCGTTGGCAAGGCCGACGAGGNACAAGCCATGCAAAGGTTGAAGCGATATGCGAAGCGGGCTTCCAAGTTCATCATGCACCCAACAAGGATGCTGATAGAAAGGGACTAACAAGACTCATTCTAAATATTGTGGTCAAGGTGAATATCAAATTCTCGATTTGGTAGAAAAAGTTCAATATCAAAGTTGTAATTGAAGAATAAAATATTGTGGTTAAGGTGAATATCAAATTCTAGATTTGGTAGAAAAAGTTCAAGCATAAAATAAACTAAATTTGAAATTTGAAAGTTAGACACCATTCTAAAAAATCTAGATCGTGTAACGGCCACACTTAACAAACTCGATCGCCTGGAAACATGCGTCCACGCCTCATTGCGCCATGTGTCGCGCTTGCAGCCATAAACTTCTTCCACTTACCCAGCTCAATCAGCTTGGCTTTGCTTTGCGGCTCATAATCCAGCTTCTTGACTCGTTGAAGGGTATTTTGCCCAATTTTTTGCAGTTTCAACCATTCTAAAGCATAGTTGACCTTGTTTTAAGGAAATTATGATAAGTATAAGGTTTAATTTCTCCATTTAAGATCAAATGAATTGAGAAATTGTAGTTACTAATGAAACAAGATGTACGTTCGAATAGGAAACGACAATCGGTGATATTTTGAGAAATTTTTTGGCACGAAAAGTAAACTACTCAAATATTGGGAGAAAGCCAGCTAACGAAAACCAAGCAAGTGGTCTTACTATCAGATAGGTTTGATGACTTGTTTGATATATGACGACACGTGGCTAGTGGCCGTTGCACGTGTCATTTGTTCATTATATTTATGATGTTGTGACTATATTGTATGATGAAAATTTACGATATATGATGATCTTTTTATATGATGTTAAGATGCTATACGATGTTATATGATACGTTAAAAGACATGGTGTAAGTTTATGATATGACATGTTTTACCTGACGAGATATATGATATGATATGATTGACAAAAAGTGTGTTGAATTGGCATAATGCACAACCTCGATATACACATGAAAAGTTGTGATAGAATGAAATGAAAGGAAAAATCTTGGGATGCCATGCATCATTGTGCATTCATGCATCGGAGGATACTCCTTCTTCTTTTACGATTGTACGAATTCATACACTACGAGGTAGGGAAACGATCATTATATTATTATAATTCTTCCATGCACACTCCAACGAATCCAAACCGACGAGGTAGATCAATAAGACGCAATGTCATAATAGACAACCCAAGCTACAACGATAACCATTGACCAGTCAATACTCTCCACTATAAGCCAAACAACATGTTTTTATGTTATTTAAGTAAGATTAATGTGAGTAAGATAGGGGTGACTATTCCAGATGAACAGTAATATGATGGTTGCTATTCTTAGGCCATATTAATGTATCAATACGGTTATGTGTGAAGGTTGGGTAACCAAAGGTAGAGACGACTTAGATCCGGTGGAAAATTATGACAGAAAAGCCATTGGAATGGCTGCGGGAAGAGAGAGAAAGGAATTTGGAAGATTGCTAGGAGTTGGGTGAAGATGAAAGAATCCATCAGATCTAGATCCAAGTCGAACATACCTACACCAACCTACTACTCAAACCCATTTGCAACCCAAATACCAATAGCAACTTCAGCCTACGGCCCAGACACTTTGTGACTCGTGGCCCACAATGCCTGTAGCTCACACATTAGATCGTGCAACCCAAACTACCTGCAGCCTACGAACTATGTAATCATTCCCAAAGCCTGCGCCTTTTCCCTACGCAACAATCATGTGTGTCAACTCCTCCCCGTGCTACATGTCATGCTTAAAACAAGATGGCTGTAATAACCCGAAAATAATAAATTAATTAATTAATTAATTAAATAAAAATAAAAATAAATAAATAAATAATAATAATAATAATAATAATAATAATAATAAAAAAAGACAGCAGCAGCTTGAAGCTGCTGCCATGGAGAAAGGAAGAATGGACAGGTGGTTGAAGGGAAAAGAAAGAAAAGAGAGGAAGATGGAGGTGTGGGAGGTGGTTGGCGTTGGCAAGGCCGACGAGGAAGCACCAAATAATATCGAAGAAACAGAGGAAGAGGGAAACAGAAAACAGGGAGTGTTATAATCCGTGTTTTCCGGCAAAACCTTAAAGTTTTTTGGCGTTTGTTGTGACAAAGTGCAAACATGAGGATGGGGAGACGATTGTGAAGGCTTTTCAGCCATTGAAGCTCTAAACTAAGCTGATTTAAGCGGTTGTCGCAAAGGTAACGAAAAACCCATATCACCGAACTTTTAAATCTTGATAACTTGGTTCGTATTGTATAATAAGTTATGAAATAGGGCTTGTTAGAAACGTAATAAGGAGATCTATAAATTTGTAGAAGGAATCAGGATGAAATTCGAACCGTAGAAGGAGGATATGGCTTCGGGATATNTAATTTCTCCATTTAAGATCAAATGAATTGAGAAATTGTAGTTACTAATGAAACAAGATGTACGTTCGAATAGGAAACGACAATCGGTGATATTTTGAGAAATTTTTTGGCACGAAAAGTAAACTACTCAAATATTGGGAGAAAGCCAGCTAACGAAAACCAAGCAAGTGGTCTTACTATCAGATAGGTTTGATGACTTGTTTGATATATGACGACACGTGGCTAGTGGCCGTTGCACGTGTCATTTGTTCATTATATTTATGATGTTGTGACTATATTGTATGATGAAAATTTACGATATATGATGATCTTTTTATATGATGTTAAGATGCTATACGATGTTATATGATACGTTAAAAGACATGGTGTAAGTTTATGATATGACATGTTTTACCTGACGAGATATATGATATGATATGATTGACAAAAAGTGTGTTGAATTGGCATAATGCACAACCTCGATATACACATGAAAAGTTGTGATAGAATGAAATGAAAGGAAAAATCTTGGGATGCCATNATTCGAAACCAGGTAAGTAGCGTATCGACCTTTGAACTAGTTCTTAACTTGTTTTACAACATGTGAGAATGTTGTTTACCTGATTAAGAGCTTAATAAGTTATGATGAGCTTTGATGATATTTAGTGTTTATTGTATATTGTGACTGCTTGCCTGTGATATAAGCGTGATATAAACGATTGTCAGAATGTTCTACGTGTTGATCATGATACATGTATGAAAGCATGCAGTAACTGTGAGTATGTTATGCATGTTAATGGAAAGGTTATGACTCTAGATATGCTTATTGGTGGTTGAGCTATGGCTTATTTGCTGAGTATGATAGTCTACTAATTCCCGCGGAGTTCCTGGCCAACGCGCTGTGTGCTAAGTCAGGGAGCATGAGTACTCCTGACCGTTGGTATATGAGATAAACAGGCCGCCAGAGCAATTAGTAGACGGACCGTATTTGACCGAGAGCGAGTCTTACATACGAGTCCGAAAATTCTAGATAAGCATATCGAGAGAGAGTCAGTAACCTAGCTGGAGGTAGCTGAGATACCTCATTAACTAACAAATGACCCTAGTAAGAGAACTAGGAGTCAATGATGAATAAAACCTAAACACACCTGGAAAGATTAGTTATGAACTCTTGAATGATAAGCTAGCTACTTACTGACTAATCTAATTACTCATCAAAATTATTATAACTTTTCTTTCCAGATTTAGATGATGCAGGCCAACCGAGGACGAGACCAGCGGACTGAAGACTACTGGGAATCCATGTCTTTGTCTGTTTTGTATATTTATGTTTTCGCTGTCAAGAATTTACTTCGGTTGTTTTAAGTTTAAATAGCACTGGTTTTAAATGTTTTACTGGATGTTTTTTTTAAATATGTTGAGATTATGATTGGGTGTTAGAGTATGTTGTCGTTGATGATGGTAACTCCTGTTAATTGCGTTGACGATGAGCGGGCGTTA